GGCACTTAACAACAAATATATATATATATATATATATATAAGCTCTGGTAGCTCTTCTGCGGGAGAAAGATGAGGCTTTCTGCTCTGGTAAAGATTTACAGCCTCAGAAACCCTGTACAGGGTCGCTATGAGTCGGAACCGACTCCACAGCACATCACCACCACCATTATACATATATAAACACACACACATATACACACACACAATATAAAGAGCTCTGGTAGTATAGTGGTTACCAGTTGGGCTACTAACTTCAAGGTCAGCAATATGAAACCACCAGCCATTCTGTGGGAGAAAGAGGAGGCTTTCTGCTCCCGTAAAGATGTACACCCTTGGAAACCCTATACAAGTTCACTATGAGTCATAACCAACTCCACGGCATACAACAACAACAACAACAACATACACAATATATATAGAGAGAAATTGGTTTTAAATATTTCATTAATATAAAAATGATGTATGTATGAATATTGTAGAAAATTATGGGGGAAAACCACATAAATAAAAATACATAAATCTATATTTTCACCACCCAAAGATGACCACTGATACCTCAGTGTAAATTTTTCCATATATAGAGATATATACTAGACAGGTATACATACATATATATGCACTCACACTTTTTTTTTTAAATAAAAATGAAATAATACTATACCTATTGTTATATAACTTGCTTTTTAAAGCAATCTTTATTTATCCATATGGCTACATTTTCCTCTTTTCTAATATCCAGTCCATATTCAAATATTTCCATTTGTTCCAGAACTTCCTTTTATAGCTTGTCTAAACCAAGATCCAGTCTGATACCTGTATCAGACCTGTACTAGACTGTACTAGACTGTATCTGTCCCGTTTATTCTAGCACGGTCGGTCCCCTCTTTGCAACTTGTTAGAGAGCAAGCCAGTAGTCTTTTCAGAATATCCCAGCATCTAGATTTTTCTAGCTGTTTCCTCATGATGTCTTATAAAAGGTTCTACTATCTCCCATATTTTCTGAAAACCAGAAGTTAGATTCAAAGACTTCATAGATTCCAGTTCAACACTAGAGACTAAAGCACATTGCAGATAGCACTGTATATCCAGTTTGTTCCTACTAATGATGTAAGGGGCTCTGGTAGCGTAGTGGTTACGAATCGGACTATGAACCGCAAGGTCAGCAGTTCAAAACTACCAGTGGTTCCGCGGGAGAAAGATGAGGCTTTCTGCTCCCATAAAGATTTATAGCCTCGGAAACCCTGTACAGGGTCACTATGAGTCGGAGTGGCACTTAACGACAACAACAGTGATGTTAAAGTGACCCCTGATTAATGTGATGACAGATAGATTCTTCACTGTTCAATTAACATTGCCCTTCTATTGACCCTCCGTGGGTTTGATTTTGGTGCCATGCAAATGTTCAGTTCTCCAGTGTTGTTCTGTAGGAAAAGTGTTCCCTCATCAACTGGGTTTTTTAGTTTCACTGAAATAAATTCCTACAGGGAAGGTTCAATTCTTCCCCTTAATTGGATATTTTCAAACTAAGAAACTATCTTAAAGACCACTTCAAAGGGTGACAAATAGTTTTTCTCCATAGTAATTCCTGTCATTTTCTACTCTGCTGCCCTCCCAGGCATTCCTATTTGACAGACCATATGCCAAAGAACATAGAATAGTATTGAATTCCAGTCTTGACTCACAAACACACCATTGATACACACCAAGTCTGGAAGTGTCCCTGACACTGTATTAAAAAGTACACTAGCTCAGGGCTGGGGTCTCTCCAGAACCCAGTCTAGGGGAGCTGCGTGTCACTCCCCCTGAGCTCAGCCTGACTTTGGATGAAGAATGAATAGAACGTGTTCTGAAGGAACTATGGACTAAGTCAGGAGACCTGCCATTAACTAGCATTGAGAACTTGGAGATATTTGCTAACGATCAAGAGCTGCTGGATAGGTGGGTGGGTGGGGAGCACCAACAGTACTTGAGATGCTATCAAAGAGGGGAGGATCCATGGCTTGGCGGGGGTAAGGGTGTAAGGCATGACGAGACAGGGTGTACCCAGAGCATTGCTCCATATGTGATTGTGTCCCATCTTCCATCTCTGTCCCAAGCAGATGTATGTGGCCACCGTGCTACAAGAGCCAGAGATGAACCTAACCCCAGCCACTTCTCCTGCCCGGCACACCTATGGCACCATGAACAGCCAAACAGAGGGAGAAGAGGAGAGTGGCCTGAGGGGGTTTGCAAGGGATCTGGACTCAGCCCAGTTCCAGGATGGGCTGGAACTAGAGAGTCAGAGCCAATACCAGTGATGAGGCCCTGAGGCCTCCACCTGGCAACTCCCAGAGGGAGCAGCATCCAGGGGAGCATCTGGCAGGGGGAGGCAGGAGGACAACCTGGATCCTCCACTACCTCCTACAGACTTTGAGAAACCCTCAGTGGAGACATCTGCCGCCCTGGCTGCGTTTCCTATCTTATGGAGACCCCGACCTGCTAACCTGCTAGAACGGGATGACTGAGTAGATGAACCCTGGAATGGGGTGGAGACACTCAACTACTGTTGTCCTAGGAGAGGAGACTGAAGCTTTGGACTCGAGGACTGAGTGTTGGAGTTTCCTGCCTGGGGCAGGGGATGTCAAGGTGCAGAAGATATGTACAAGGGAGGAGCCAGAAAACGTCTGCTGAAGGCTCTCAAGCAGGGTCTTTGCTACCCCTCCACCAGCTGCTCTTCCAAGGGGCTTCTGCTGCTGCTACTCTGTGTCCATCCTCCAACTTCCATCCTACATCCCCCACTTCTTCTGCAGTCTTCGGAGGTCAAGGTATGTCCTCATCTCCAGAAAGTGATGAAATCTCAGATCACCATCTCAGAACAGACTTCCTTGCATGGGGATCTGTAAGGAAAAGTCCCCACCCTACTAGAGCAAGGAACTTCTGAGACTACAGATCTGACAGGTGACTGAGCCCCTTGTCAATTTCTCTAGCAGGAGGAAGACCTAACTCCTTTCCATTCTTGCAAGAGTAGCCAGGGTACGGTCACCCGGGGGCTCACTGAAGTGTCCTGTATGTATTTGAATGAAGGAAACCTTTGCTAGTTCTGGATGGTTAATATCAGATTGGGAGGGGCAGAGGCAAAATTCATGGAGGGGGATCTCCTCCCATAGCTTGGGTTGGTAGGAAACTAAACATACCTCTCCTAGAACCTAAGGCTTAATAAGAAAACCCTCAAGGCCACTAGAGCTTCTTCTGCCTCATATCCATCTGAGTTATTTGGCTTCCAGCATGGCCAAGGTGGCCAGCAGCTTAGAGTGAGAAACCCATGCTTCCAACTGAAGATAGTGGCCTCCCCCCATGCAGGACCCTTGGTCCCTGCTCTGAGCTTCCTACGCCCTGGACTGAAGATGACATGAGTGAGCTGCATGCATTGTCATCTTGGCTCAGACACTATGTAGAAGCTGCCAACAGATGCACCAGCTCAGCCTGCCGGGGAGGGGAGGGGAAGTGGGTCTTTGTCCTCACTGGGGAAGCCCTTTCTAGGCCACCACCCCAAGGCCTGAAGGAGCTGAATCCTGCGCAGGAACCTGAATCAGTCAGAAGGCTACTGGCCTTTTGGAACACGCACTCACTGGGCTTGCTCCAGAGCACAGCTGGGGTGAACATGGAGAGGGGCCAACTGGGCCGTAGTCCATGAGCAGGGGCCAAGTTGGACAGGGTCTGCATGCTTCAGAGCCACCTTGGTCTTCCTTCTCCAAAGGTCCAGGTCTCTGCAGCCAACCTGCTGAAGGTGGGACCCCTCGAGGCTCACCTCACCTGGGCAGTCTCCACCATGCCCTAGGCACATGGGTACCCCCAACTCCAATCATCTGAGCCCCATCCTTGCAACATCTTTGTTCACATCCTAGCCCAGAAGTTCCAAACTTCACTCCAGGCTAGAAACAGTGCTGGATGGGCAGACATTGCCATACCCAGACTTGGGCAAGAGGAATCTTTCCAGAGTGTTTGGGTCACTGGGGACAGGGCAGTCTCTCCTACCCCACATCCACCTAGGAACAAGATTATTACAAAGACAGATCCCACAGGGCCCCTTCCTCTAGAATCTCACCAACCACCAGGAAGCAAGCATCCTTCCTAAAGTAGAGGGGTCAGACCCTGCCCAACCCTCATAGGGTGCGTTTGGTATGTGTTTCAGGGGAGGCTGTTCTTCCCTGGGCACTGCTTACTGCACTTGCCCCCCAATCTCTTCAAGCCCTGCTGGACTGTTGCTGTTGCTGCTCACCTGCTGGCCCTCCTTCAGCAGTCTGTGGAAGCTGGATTCAGAAAGGGTCCCAATAGACAACATGGCAGGATGACTGGGGGCTTCCCACTCTGAATTTGGGTCAAGTGCAGCCTGTGTGAGAAAAAGTGGTATAAATGTTGTGAAACTTCCAGAACCCACTTCTCCATTCTTCCTGGAGACCCAGGGCAACTGGTGAGGCCCAGCCAGCAGGTCTTCCCCTCCCCTGGTCATTGCAAGCCCACTCATTAGCTCCTCCCCCTTAAACTATATAGGACTCTCCCTAGACACCTCTTACCCACCACTGCCTACTGCCCTCCCACTGCACCTCCTGACACCCCCACCCCCACCCTACTGGTCCACTTCCCTGCTGTCCCACCTGAGTTGGCCTATCAGAAACCTTCAGACTTAACTCTTTCTGGGGCGTGGGCTTGCCAAGGGGCCCCATCCTCAGGATAGAACAGCCCCTTGCCTGCCTGCCCCTCAGTTGCCTCTGGAAGCAAAGTGCCTACCAGCAGCATTGTGTTCTCTGGGGCCGTCAGGATGTGGACTTCCCTTGGCCATCCCCACCAAAGGAATGTGCCAGAATGCCGAACCGTCTTGTTACTAAAGCTATGACTGTGCCTTGAATAAACAAGTCCTCCCAGCCTCCACTGGCCTCTTACTACGCACCTGAACTGGGCCAAGCAGAACTGGGCTTTTCCTCCACTGGAAAGGAGTCTGAACTGGTAGAACTCCCTAAGCTGAGCCTCCCTGGATCCACCTTTTCAGTCTTTGTCCCTCAGAGGCCAGAGCTGCCCCTTTGGGATTCCCTCCCCCTGAGGCCTTCCCTGGTCCCTGCCCCCACTCGGAAAGGTAGAACAAATGCTGCCTGCTCTGCTGGGGCGGGGAAGGGGAAGGTCTGTCTGGTTCTTTCTGCTGTGGGTACTCAGAACCTTAAATTGTAGGAGAGAACTTTCTAGTCCTTGTACTCTGTCTTCCTGTCCTCAGCCCCATGATCGGACAGTCGGCCTAGACAAGAACTACACCTGAAAGGACAGATTTCAGGAGGAGGGTCTGCCTAGGGCAGGAGCTGGTGGGCTAGGAGGAGATAAGAAACATTGTTTAGCTCAGGTTAGTTATAACTCCCGGTCCCTGGTGTGACAGTATAGGATAAGCACTGGATTGCTAACCATAACTTCGGCAGTGCAGACCCATCAGCCACACAAAAACGCTCTACAGGGTTGCTATGAGTGGGAACCAACTTCACAGCAATTAACAGCAATAGCAAAATTATGTCTCAGAGCCCCTGCTCAGTGGCTAACCGAAAACGATGGAGTGATGTACCTCCGAAAACTCAGTCACTGAAAACCTTCTGAAACAGTTCTACTCTGACAAGCTTGGGGTAACCGGGAGCAACTGGTGGTGATGGTAATTATGTCTCTGCTATTCTGCAAGGGGGTGCTGGGTTGTGGCAAATAGGAGACAGAAATGCCCCGCTGTGGCTATGTATCTCTGGATCAAGAGTTCTAGGTTTCAGCCCTTCCCGTGCCAGCTAGATGGCCCTAGGCTGGTCTCCTCAGGTCCCTCATGAAGACAGAGGAGGACAATCTTGGGACAGGCTGCACAGGGCTGTTGTCCATGTCCCCCCACACTTGACCTTCTCAAGCTTCTATATATAGTCCCTCAGTGGGCACAGGTTCAAAGCCTCCCACACTGTCTTGGAGGTGTTGTAGCAGACTCCAGATGTGAACAGGCTTTGGAAAGTCTACCCAGAGTTTTAGGAGTGATCCTGGGAGGTTGGGCAGGGAACTTATCTTAGGAAGGACAACTACAGATGTCAGAATTACCCACAAGCTGAGCTCCAGGGCTGTAAGGGGAAGGGGCCAATCTGTAAACAACCCCCCATCTGTTCCCTGTGCCCCAGGCCATATTTAGGTGAAGTGATGCTGGAATCCCAGGGACCCAGGCCCTGAGGCTATTCTGGACAGGCAACAGAGGCTAGTCCACACAGGTTGGGGCCTGGTGCAGGAATTGGGACTTGATCCTCAGAATGAGAGACACTGGTTGAAAGTGGGGAGAAAGGTCTGTCCTCAGGAAGGGATGGGACACCAAGACCCGGGTCAGGTTTGAGAGGTATGGCAGCGGAATCAGCAGAGTTGGTCTTTCCCTGATTTCTGATGATACAGCACATTGGGCTATGGGGGTCACCTGACACTCAGAAGCCACAGGTTCCTAAATGTACAGCTGAATAGAGAACATCTCTGGGGAGATGCAGGTCCAACCACAAACAGCCAACAAAAGCTGTTCCTTTCTCTGTGTGCCACACCCTCACCCCTTGGAAGGTAGAAACGGAAGCTGGGCCCTCCTGGGTCTGTGCTTTCAGTCAAGAATGTCACTCTAGTGGCAGTCCTGAAAACAGGGCTCCAAGCCACCACAGGTTGGTTAGAACCGAGGGTAGAAGAGAAAATTAGTTCAAACCAGGGCTTCCAGCCATCAGTTTTTCCATTCCGATTGTCACTCAGGTTCACCAGAATGTTTAAAATTCAGTTTTGTTCTGGTTTCACTTTGTCAACCATGACTGAACCAGTTGGAGACTTAAAGTCTGTTTTTTATTCTTCGATCTCAAATGTATATGCCGCAAATGGATGACCCGGAGCAATTTCATCAGAAGAAATGGGGCTGAAAGTTAGTTTCCTATATTGCAGACAATATTGCATTTTTATATTAACTCAAATTTTGTTCATCCCAGTATTAATTTTGTAGTAATATTAAACTTTTTCTACACATTCATTAATAATTAAATTTTAAAGTCACAATGATACTCAAATTTAATCTCAAAACATGTCAGTACAAAGAAAAACAATGTAAAGTATGTTATTTTTTAAACCCTATTTAAAATATATATTAGCATTCATTGCAGCACTGAATCACCTTAGACATACTGTATATATCGTTTAACATACTGTATAAATATTAAAATGAAGATTGAAAATACTTTTTCAGTACAGAATTCTCATACTATAAATACACTGAAAACAAACTTAATTCTGACCGGCGACA